CCTTTTTATTTTGTTTTGTCTAAAACAAGGTTTAAACAAAACAGTTCAACCAAAAAACAGTGGCAAAGTAAGTGAGTATGAAAATTTCATACAGTGTGCCCAGTGTGCCCGCAGCGCAACACCAACGGTCACATTACAAGCTGAATTTTGTATATAAAGCAACTACGCCAGAGCCAGAATCGGCCCGCCAGCGGCCGTATTTAAAATGTCTATCCTCCTCGAATTCCTCTCGAATTCTACTTTAACCTCCGCAACCACACTTCTTGGAGCGTTATTGAACCTCCGCAACCACACTTCTTGGAGCGTTATTGAACCTCCGCAACCACACTTCTTGGAGCGTTATTGAACCTCCGCAACCAACATTCTTGGAGCATTATTGAACCTCCGTAACCAACATTCTTGGAGCGTTATTGAACCTCCGCAACCACACTTCTTGGAGCGTTATTGAACCTCCGCAACCACACTTCTTGGAGCGTTATTGAACCTCCGCAACCACACTTCTTGGAGCGTTATTGAACCTCCGCAACCACACTTCTTGGAGCGTTATTGAACCTCCGCAACCAACATTCTTGAAGCGTAATTGAACCTCCGCAACGAATCTTCTTCTCGGGGGGCATGGCTTTTGATTCTGTTAGTTGGTTTAAATCGTTCAAAACTAAATTATTTAAAAGCTAATTTAAACTTCAATTAAATAAACCCTCGGCGGGGATGATGCAGGCACGAGTGCTGTCGGCCACCCCGACGGAGGGCAGGCCGTGCTCCTTGCACATGGCCAGGAGGTCCTTGTGTCTCCAGGTTCGAGAGCTCCGACATTTCCGCACAAAAACAAAACGGAAAACAGAAACAAAAATCTAGAGCTGCCGACCGACTTCTCTGAAAACCTGAAAACCAAATAATGCTCCCTCCCAATCGCGTCTCGCCTGGAGTATTGTAATCTGAATATAGTATATTCGCATGCATGGTGCTAGCTTATGGTGACTCTAAAAATCTGGCAGCACTGGTATCACCTCAGCCGACTGGATACCGAACGTCTTAGATACTTAAATCTAGTTCTAACTCTGCATCTTCGTTAGTGGAAATTAAGATATCGTCATCAAAAGTTTTAGACTGATGCCGACTCACTTGACACATTATCTTTTATAATGCTTGTTCGGAGCAGAACCCAGCCGATTAGCTGCTTGCCAAACAGCACCTAATTCTTGGCCCTCAGCCTCTTATTTTGTTTGTTACTTATGTCTATGTCACCTACATTTATTCGTCAGGGTTTTGCGCTTGCTTGCGCTGCTAGACGCTCTCTGCCAGCTCGCTCTTCGCTATCTCCGGTACCGACGTCGGCCGAGCGAAGCTGCGCTTAGCGATCGGAGCGGCAATGTACATAAAGGGCAGGCAAGACACACTTGCAATTTGGATGTCACGCATTAAAGAACATATCGTAATTTTATTTCTGCGCCGAGTTTTTTTTAATTCGAAATAATTAGTCGACCGATTGGGGATAAAAAACATTATCTCCACAATGCTAATTAACATCGTATCTTCATCGATACTGTAGTGGAAGTTAGAACTTTCATAGAAAGCATTTTACTAATAATTACATTAAAATCATACATAGTTGAATTATTGTTGTTAACACCGCGAGATCTGATTAAATAAAATACATTTTCTAATGGGTCTTGGTTTAATTTGGATGTAGCAATATAAAAACTTCAGCACTTTCACTCCAAACATTTTGGGCCAATGAAAGTATGGAGTTGATTATTAAAATCATACCCTTTATGCAGTAGACTTCCTGTGGATATTTAAGTTCTTCGAAATATTTTCGCATATCCGAAAGGGTCTCATTGACAAGATTTTTGTCTTGCAGTGCACTCCTAAATGGGTTTTTATCGTAGAGGACATGATTATTTAGACAGTCGAATAATCGATTCATTTTTTCAATAAATGTAGCCGTCGCTTCTGCATTTTCTTTGCACTTTAAGAAGCCTCCAGAACTAATAATTGTTCGAAGAGCAGCGGCCACACTATGGCTAAACACTTGAGTGGCATATTTGACCTTAATTTATTTGGATATATGTATATGCTTTGTTGTTAATTTCGGGCAGAGTCGCGTTGAATTTCTAGAATCGATTTCATACGTTCTTCGTTCTTCGACTATTTTCCATGAAACAACGCCATCAGGGGTATAAAGATTTCTATTTCGGACAATGTTACTTAGCGATTTAATCAAATGTGAAACATCGTAAATCGCAAATATTTTTTTATCTTGAACTTTAAAGCTGGGGTTCTTAATGTCGACTCCCAGTCTTCTGAAAACAGCCCTGGTCGCAAATAGCTGCTCGTACATTAAGCCCTAAAACTTGTGCTCGTTCAATATTAGCTGTCACTTTATTTGTCTTTTGCAGGATGCGTCTCTCAGCAATTATCTAGAGAGCCTCAGTAGCATTTACATAAAGAAAAACATAAATGTAAAGTAAATGAAACTTAAAACATGAAGTTTGGGAATTCACGTTGTTGTTGAACAACTCTTTGGATGCTTTCTGCATTGTTTTGATTATAGATGAATACAGATATTCTGTAAATAATGGAAGGTACGGCCTTGCCTTGCCGTGTACAAATATAGTGATAGTTGTCTTTTACGATAAAAGTTTCTGCAACCTCTCAATGCGCAGCGAGTAATTGTTTTCCTCGTTCTCCACAATCTCATCAACGGTCACAATTGCACCTACTTCCAGTTGTTTCTCGAGACGTTTAGCCTGCGCATCGGTGAGTTCTTCGGGCAGGTCCATCAAAACATATTCCGTAGTCAATACGGGGTATGTTAATTGCCCCGGATATCCACGTATATCCGTCACATGGATTTTAACAATGTTTCCATAGTCCAGAAACAAGATGCTGGGATAGCCATCACCCACTAGCTCCATGGAAACACCGCGACACAATTTTCCCATATACTTGGCCATGCACAATTCTCCCTTCTATTTAAGGCTCTACGGTTCTCCCGATAGATGAGCACTGCCGTCTGCATGTGGTTGCCATAATCGTACTCAAGACTGTGGGCTTCGTAAAAGGGCTTCGTGTTTTATACCGTTTGCAGTTACAGTATAGCTTAGAACGTATTTTCAGTTTTCAAATAGGCCTCTTATCATGAAAACACAGACTTTATATTAGAATAATTATCCATGAGAGTATTCAAGGTGCGACCGGCATCTCAATTTTTTCTTTCCACATTCCCGTCGGAAAGCGCGCGATTGACAATTTATTTAAAATATATGTAAAACCAATTCCATTTATATTTATGCATATTTATTTTAGTATATATGTATATATATTTTTATTTATTTTGTATATTTAGATACATCATTGTTTTAGTTATAATAAACAAAAAAGACGAGAACCGACGGCGTTTACATAATTTTTATAATTTATAATCAACCTGCTTAAGATAAGGAAATAAATGTGCAATTATATTATTGTTATACCCGATACTCAAAATGAGTATTGGGGTATATTAGATTTGTGGTAAAAGTGGATGTGTGTAACGTCCAGAAGGAATCGTTTCCGACCCCATAAAGTATATATATTCTTGATCAGCATTAATAGCCGAGTCGATTGAGCCATGTCTGTCTGTCTGTCTGTCCGTCCGTCCGTCTGTCCGTACCCTTCAGCGCCTAGTGCTCAAAGACTATAAGAGCTAGAGCAACGATGTGTTGGATCCAGACTTATGTGATATGTCACTGCTACAAAAATAATTCATAACTTCGCCCCGCCCACTTCCGCCCCCACAAAGGACGAAAGCCTGTGGCATCCACAATATTGCAGATTCGGGAAAACTAAAAATCATAACAACAGAATCATAGAGATTGACCATATCTATCCGGTTGCGGAATATGGATCAGATCGGATAATCTGTATAGCCAAACAAGCAACAAGACGTCACGCTCAGACTGATTTTCTGTCTCTCTCGCACGCACTCCTTGTCGTGTCGTTTAATATTAGCGGCGTCTGCCGGAGGAGAGCCATACTGACTAAGTATCAACTCACAACGTTCCCCCTCGTAATATTTTATATTTTTATAATTTTATATTTGATATATTTATATCAAACAAATAACATCTTTTATTTTATTTCCCGCGCCCTAGTGTACCATACCCCCACCCCCTGCCCATTCTTCATTTATTTTGTGGCGGTAGGTCAGTCCATCAAAAGACCCAAAACAAGAACCAAACTCAAATTTCAGTTCTAGCGGCCAGCAATACTAAACACACACACGCAAAGTACGTGAGAATGCATGTGCACCCATACCCTAAAACATGCTGGAGGCAAAACAGAACCAGACCTGAGAGAGTTCAAAAAATCTGAAAAAAGCATACAATCACATTTTGTCGAAACATATTGCGTGTGTACTAACACATGCAAAGATGTTCTCTCTGCGATCTCTCTCTCATGATGACGTCACTCTGGGGTACTGAACGCGCTAGCCAGTGTGTGACGCTTTCGTTGTATGAACTGGCACATCTATATACTGTATGGTTAGTTTCATAGCAGAGAATTTTGTGCGCGCAATACACCAAATTGTGCACTTAACAGCACTACATTTTACGTTTAACAGGCCATGACCAAAAAATGCCAAGGCGGGAGCACCTAAAATTGAAAACTGAACGTTTTGGCTTAAAACACATAACGCAAAAGAAAGTAAAAACGTTAGCCTGCCTGATATATCATTATTGACTTCCCATTCGAAGAATTGTCCATTTGGGTATTCAAAGTGCGGGGTGCAACATCATTCATTCCTTGTATTCGCATCAGAAAATGAAAAATGGACAAATGATTTAAAATTTGATGCGCAAGTATGACACTACAACCTGTACAGACCAATTTTATACCTCGGTATTTAATTCTATATCTGCCAAAATATTCTTGCTCCCCATCGATAGTTGCGGCAAAGTATCGATAGCCGCAAGTGATATTTTGATACGATTTTCGGGGGAAGTAAATACAAAAGAAATGTCGCTTTTGTTTGCATTTTTGCTGATTTTAAGCTGCAACTGCAGCCTGTTGCTTGCCAAAAACAAGAGCTGTAGCTTACTGGTGGGCGAGCTGGGCGATGGGCAGAGTAAATTTGTGTACTGCGCCACCACAAAGTCCGTTCCGGTGCGGCTCTGCATTGGCTGTGTACCGGAGTACAGAATTCTAACGAGCTCCTACGATGCGCTGCTCTCCCAAGAAAACTGTTCGAAGATATATCTCAACTCGGATCGCATCAACGTGGTGGCCACCACCCAGGGCATACTCACAAATCTCTGGCAGAAAGCAAACTGCGAGGGTAATACGAAGACCATTTCTCCACATTATGCATCCTCCCCTCTAAACAATGGGATGGGCTTTTCTCTCTTCCAGATTGCTTCAATGGCAATCATTCGGACCTATATGACGTCCAGTGGAATATTCTTAATGGCTGTCTCAGTGCACATAAAGATGATCCGTGCATCTCTTGCAAGAATGACTATATCGCACTGAACCAATTTTACTTGGAAATGGAGAAGGCAAACAAAGGACATGTGTGCTTCGATCTGCAGGACAGCGTAAGGCACCAGACACAGAGCGGTGCCTTCACTCTAATGTTTATCCTTTCTCTTTTTTAGATGAACCGCACTCGTTCGAATTGGTCCAAAACTTTAGGATGCTGCCACCGGGATGTAAAATTAAATACTTTCCTCATTGCCGTCTGCGTTGTGGTCCTTCTGCCAATCGTTACCTTCTACATCACCGTCATTGTGCTGACCAAGAGGCGGGAGGCCAATCATGGACTCCTCAACGAAGAGAGTAAGTGGAAGAGCGCCGATATGACCTTTTTTCTTTGTTTAATTCGGATTTTGTGTAGCACCCGAGTTGGATGCCCCATCAACTTCTGCTCTTATTACCGCCGCCGTACTGTCCACGCCCACGGAAAATCCAGTGGTTGTGGCTGGTAGAACGGAAAAGATTGCCAAGCTGTTGAGTGGTGCAAGGGCTGGCTCTGATTCGGACTTGGATTCCAGCGACGATGAGATACAAGTAAAGCCAAAAACAGCCTAAGTATGCGAAGGGGGAAAAACTCCTTTTGGAAATATTCTAAAAGTCATCAATGACCCTGTATTTAACCACTTCATGACTACTTTTTTGGGACGTAGATTCTCACACTCCATAAGATATAAAACATATATCGTTTTGGAATGTAAATCGTGCTCCCTGTGTGATATCTCTGAATAAAGTAACAAGCTTTTTTATAGATTTGTAATCAAACAAAGTCTTTATTCACATCAGTCTTTGGGTGGGTCTCTCTTTCTTCCAGGACATCTATGAAGCTCTGGTGGGCGCCTGCTCCTCCAGTTTCGTTTCTGAAATGAAAAAGAGCAAAACTTCCTAGTTCTCTGTCCAAAGGTGTGTCGTCTTGTCTGTTGTCTCTCTCTGGGACTCTGGATGTTATCCAGCGAATCTTTTGGGGGCAGTCTTTTGAGTGGAAATGAACGTGTCAAACAGTTCGAATTGCTACGATTCTACGTTGCTACGTTTCTACGGTGGGAGAAGATGAGCGAGCGAGCGAACGAGCGACCGTTCGATCTCAGAGTGTGGATGGTGGATGGATAGGATGGACCGGACCACCCAAGGGTGGTGGTGGTGGTGGTGGTGGTGGTCACCAGACATACGTTTTCGTTCGGATGTGTGTCGGGGTTGGGTCCTCGCTGTCTCTGAAAGACATGTATGTAAATGTTAATATTTTGTTGCATTAGTGGTTATACCATAAGATATAAGAAAGTTTGGATTGGCTTTGCTTTGGTTTGTGGTTTGTGGTTTGGGGTTCGGATCCCAATAGATAACTCCTCTTGTAAAAACTGTCTTCGATTCGCTTCTTCGTTCGAGAAGCTTAGTTCCATGGAACGCTCTGTCCAACTCTCGTTTCGGCTGGTTTTTTTTTTGCTTTGTTTTTAGTTTGGTTTGGCCGGGGGCGAAGCACAGGGATGCGGGATGGAGGAGTTGGGGGTGGGAAAACACACATATGCACACACATCACTGCTTCGATTTGAATAACGGTACGTTCTTGTGGTTGTTTGTTGTTGGCTGTTGTGTCTCTTTGGCGTCTCTTTCGTTTAAAAGTCTCTCTCCTTATTCATTTCATCGTTTTTCGTATAAAAAAAGTTCACAATTTCTCTCTTTCATTTTGTATTTTTTTTTTGTGGTTTAAAATATTTTTAATTAGAATTTAGGTGTTGTTTTCTTGTTTAAATTTGCTTATGCGTAAGTTTTTTGTTTTGTAAATCAAATGGTGGTACAAGGGGCGGGGGGACGGGGGTAGCGGCGAGACAGAGGGAGAGAGAGATGCAGAAAGAGAGAAAGAGAGTTGTTTGTTGTCGGAGTGTGGCGGTGTATCGATAGCCGATAGCGCCAGCCTCTCGCTCGGTAGCTGTCGATAGCTACAGCTATATGTTCGATTATATAGCTGGCTCTAGGAATTATCATTTTCATTTTCATGTATATCTTTTAAACGATCGCATCGCCCTACAATCTTATACCCGTTACGAATTCTCAATTTTCTCATTTCACACACGCGAGCACACAATTCTTTCACTTTTTCCGATACCGATAAGATTGGTCGATAATCTAGCGCCTGTTGTCCCGATAGCTTCGCTGGCCACCGCCACCGCCACCGCCGCCACGGTCGCCCCGAAACGAACGCGAGTCCCGCGAGGACCCACTGCGATTCCCGTACTCCCGACGACGACCGCCACCCGCGGCACCATTGTTGTCTCGATTGCGATATCCCGGTCCTCCTCCCACGCCGCCGGCAGCTCCACCCACTCCCGCTCCGCCCATGCCCGGGGCCGGTGGACCTCCCGCCACCCCATTGCTCCCGCCGTTGGCAGCACTGCCGCCATAGACGGGGAACCCGGGCGGCGGCACCGTGGCCAAGCCGGCGTTCTTCCAGGCGGCAAACTCCTCGTAGCTGGGCGCTTTGTCGAATCCTGGCGGCGGTGGTCGCTGCGGGGGCGGGTAATCTGGCAGTGGTGGTGCTCCAGGGCCATCGTAATATCGCACCGGCGGTGGCAGCTGCTCGTACATCGCGGCCGTCGCCCCCGGGGGCATGGCGCCGGCTGCTCCCGCTGTCCCGGGCAGTGGCATCTGGGCGAAGGGGGGCACGAAGGGCAGCGGCGGCAGCTGGCCGTGCATGTTCCGCATGTAGTCCGCAACGTACGCCTCGGCAGCGGCGGCCGACGACATGTAACGCTCCCACGATGGCATCGACATCTCTGGGGGTCCGCCTGGAGCTCCCCCGCCACCGGCGCCTCCCATTTGCCGGTAGGGAGATCCTCCGCGCTTGAAGCCGCCTCCGCCGCCTTGTGGCATGCCCCCCATGCCGTGATGGGGATGTCGGTGGTACGGCCGATGCTGATGCTGTTGTCCATGGTAGCTCCTCTTGTGGCGCATGGGTCCGAGGTGATTGTGGCCCGATCCCCCCCTCCCACCACCGCCGCCACCGCCATTACCATGGCCGTGGCCGCGGGAGGAAAGACTCCTGGGAGGCTTGTAGATCACGTGCATGCCCTTTTCCCTCATCACTCGGGCGGTTTCCTTTGATTTTTTCAGAATCGGCGTCAATTCAATCTGTTCATCCTCGGGGAAGAGGCGGCACAGCTCCCCGCCGATCTTGGGCTCGATCTCCTGGCCATCGCGTCCAATCTTCACGGGCTTACCCTCGTTCCATGTGTTGTGCAAGTGCAGTGTGGCATTGAAGGACAGCTCCTTGCGGCAGATCCAGTCCAGCTCAATGACGCCACCGAGCGCCTTCGGGGAGATGCTGGGTGGCAGCACCCAGGCCACCTGGGGAATATCGCGTCTGGAGGGCGCCGCCATCCTGGCGAATCCTGCAAATTTACCTGCAAAACGAGAGGACAGAATGAATGCGTGCACTCCATGGACACGACGACAAGACGACCTACCGCTCTCGTTGACGGAGAAGATGAGCAGGACGTTGCGGGCCTCCTTGAAGGCCTGATTCAGATTGGCATCGTTCTGTGGCAGTGTGGCCCAGACGCTCTTGCCCTTCGAAAGCTGCACGTTGTCAATGTTGTTGGACTTGATCAGAAAGAAGCGCGTGTCCCGGAACAAATAGTTGAGCTTCGTCATGTAGTCGTAGCCCTTCTGCGTCTGCGAGCTACCGCCGTCCTTCTCGGGCGTGGAGCTCTTTGAGCTGCTGGCCGTTGTGTTGGTTTTGCCACGCGCCCCACCGCCGCCGTTCCGCTTGTGCTGTGTGCCCGAATCCGAGTCGGAGGACTCGCTGTCCGACTCGAGGGCCGGCACGGCAGGCTTCTCGTCCTCCGCATCGCTTGCCTCGCTCTTGTTGCCCGAATCGTTGGGATTCGGGGTCTTCTTGCTGCGCGACGACTTCTTCGTCTGCGCCTCCCGCTCCTCGGTGGGCGGGGACTTGGCCTTGGACTTATCCGCCGGCTGCTCACTGGACGACTGACTCAACGACGGCTTCTTTGACTCGCTACCCGTGTGCTTTTTCTTTTTGCTCCCATTCAGGTCCTCGGGAGTGGCCTCACGCTTGGTCTTCTTTGAGGTGGGCTGCTGCTGCGGCCTCTCCTTCTTGTCGGCCAACGGGGGTGCTGCTTCCTTGACCTTGGTCTTGGTTTTGCGCTTGCCGCTGCCCACCAGCGAGGAGGTGGCCGTGCTCACCGAACTGATGCTAGGCTCCGAGTCGTCGGAGGACTCCCCGCCATTCGATTCGGAGGCCTCGCTGCGTGTGTTGAACTCAAAGTCCTGCAGTTCCTCGGCAATGTCCGCCTCGTTTTCGTCCAGGCCAAGATTCACTGCGTCCAGGTCGGCCATGTCGCGCATTGGCAGCGTTTGTTTACCTGCAGCGTAGCGTCGGTCCGGCCGTCAGCATGAATGAGACACGCACACAAATGCACACACGCATACACACGCAGCAGCGGAGAAGAAAATATAGAGAAAAAAATGCCGATCGATTTGGCAGGTGAGAAACAATCGCTGAAAAAGCACCGAAATCCAACACTCACTCGCTGCTCGGGGCATCAACTTAGGGGACCCTGCGTCCGTGCAACTTTTGATGCACTCTTTTCTATAATTAACACTTGCAGAAACAACAAAATTAGCGAAGCTTAATTTTTTTACACACAAATTTCTGCGTCACAGCGATGGCGTCGCGTATATCGATAAGAAATCGAACTTAGCCCACTTAGTCCCCTCTATTTAAACAATTCAACGACTTGAGGTAAATGGCGGCAAATATTACTGATTGTAAACTCTTCCTGTTTATCCATGCCATCTTTCCTCTGAACTTAAAAAAAGCACGATACCTTTCACCTGAACTACGCTAAAATAATACAATTTTCACTATTTTCGGTGGAATATTAAATACCCCCTTGGCTTACAATGGGTTAATCGTTCGTCTCTCAACTCATGGTTTTATGCGATTGATAAACCAATTTCCTACAAGACTGGTCAACTTGAAGTACTCTTCTTTATTGGATTGTCTATTAAATAAAGTTTAAGCGAAAAAGGTCAACAAAAATGCAAATATATTTCGACTAATTTTCAAGATGAATTCCAGTGTTGGTAAAGGGCTTTTGCTAATTGTTGTTTTTCTCACCTCTTTTGTGTTTACATGTGCGAAAAACGCGCGCCGCCGCGCAATGAAAACACGAATAAATATTGAAACCTTTCCGCTGTCTCTGGTGAACTCTAACGATCTGCAGCGATGCTATATTCCCGACGTGGAGGATTCGCCAAATCCTACTGCCAAAAGCTACTGGGGCCGCTGCAGCCTCTCTAATGGGAGCTATGCCATTTGCCGCGTGGTTAGGCGTCTTGGCAGCGAACATTGTTGCTTTCTGGACAGCGCGGTGACCTCCTCGGCACAATTCCCGCTCACAAATCAACGCCTGACGAGCATCGAGTCATTGACCCTGGTCCGCAATGTGATGAAGGTCTCGTGTTTGGTCTTTGCCAACCAGAATTTGCCTGAAAAACGCCCAGATCTTCAGCTGAAGGACCTCGCCGGCTATGTTAAGATCTATTTGCGGTGGCTAGTTCTCGAGAAAGGCTGCTACGTGAGGCTGAAACTGTTTAGCACATTAGGCATAGACGCCATCCAGATATTGGATGCCCCCGAAGTGCCGGACAATCAGTGTTTCACATTGGACAATTGTGCAGTGATGAACATTGTGGATGTACGTCTTGCGATGCCAAAATATCTTCCAATTTGCACAAAATATCTGTCCGACAGCTTTGAGCAGCCAACGGAGGCCCTGGAACAGCTGCTGGCGACCTCGAAACGCAGTTTTCTTGCCCATCGATTCCCTACTACGGCCCTGATTGTGGGTCCAGTGGGTTGCGGCAAGACAATGCTAATGGCCGAGTTCCTGCGGCGCCACGAATGCAGCTGCTTCTACATCCTCCCCAATCAAGGGGTGATACGCCCCTATCCAGGAGGCACCGAATCGCAGCTAAGGAAGATCTTCCAGGCAGCGCGCACATTCAAAGCCAATATGATGCCATCTAGTAAGTCGCCACTGCGTCACAAGCGTATTCAAAAAGCCAAATGGGCTTAATAATCCCCCCACTTGTTTCGTCCCCGATCTAGCACCCATTGTAATAATCATTGAGGATCTGGAGCTTCTCTGCGCTTCCTCAAGCAGCTATTCGGGTGGAGCTTCTCAGAGCTCGAACAATTCGTTGCGCATCGCCGCGCAGTTCAACAAACTAATTGACGAGCTGGATCCGGGCATCATTTGCTTGGGCACCTCCAGCAATCCGGATCACCTGCACGAGCATGCGCGTCGTGCTGGCCGATTTGGCAGGGAGATCGCCATTGAAATGCCAAATGAGGAGCAGCGTGGAAGACTGATTAAAGCCTGGTGCCAGGAGTATAACATGGCGCTCCCTTGCGGAGAACTAATTGATCATTTGGCTAAGAACACCCAAGGATATGTCATCTCTGATCTGATCCTGCTGCTGTCCCATGTCCAGAAGGATGTGAAGGTCCAAGGAGTCTCGCATTTGGATAAGATCTTCCGCAAGTGGCTGAGTCACACTTTCCCGAGTGGCTCACGAGCCACAAATGTGCGCGTGGCCAAGATGACGGTCGGCTTTGAGGCCATTGGAGGGATGGATGGGCTCAAGCGAAAGCTGGAGGCGTCTATTCTCGCCGGACTGAAGCATGCGGAAGTCTTTGCCCGCCTTGGCCTCAGTCTGCCCAAGGGAGTGCTGCTGTATGGGCCGCCGGGCTGTGCCAAGACCACCATTGCCAAGTGTTTGGCCAAGGAGGCCAATATGACATTCATTGCCACCTCGGCGGCGGAGGTTTACTCCCCCTATGTGGGTTGTGCCGAGCGATATATCACTCGGATGTTTCACTTGGCCCGAAAGAATGCCCCTTGTCTCATATTCCTTGACGAAATTGGCAAGTACCAATTGAAACGAATCGGCAGTTTTCTAGTTGTTTTCACTCTCCAATCGAATTGCAGATTCGCTGGTGGGACGTCGCACGGTGTCTACGGGAGGAGGCGGTGGCGGTGGCCAGGTTCAGCTAAGGATCCTCTCCACCCTCCTCACCGAGATGGATGGGATTGTGGGGGGCACCAATGAGAAGCATATACTCGTTGTGGCAGCCACCAATCGTCCGGAAATGATTGACGATGCCCTAATGCGTCCCGGGCGCTTCGACAAGCTGATCCATGTACCGGCCCCAGATTTGAGATCCCGCATGGCTCTGATGGAGCTGCATGGCAAACGGATGCCCTTCGATGAGAATCTAGACCTGGAAACGATCGTCCGGCATACCGAGGGTTACTCTGGAGCGGATATATGCAATCTGTGCAATGAGGCAGCCATCCAAACCTTCCAGCGAGACCCGGAGGCCACAAAGATTGAGATGCAGGACTTTGAAAAGGTCCTGTATAAGCTGAAATCATCGCTTACCCAGAGCCAAATCAGTGCATACTATAAGTTTGCCCAAAGATCTCAGTAATTGGGAACTACCGGAGAAATTGATTCAACAAATAGGCTGTGCACGTTAAAATATGAACTTGACGAACGTGACTGGCGCACGCGTCACTGTGCGGCTGTCAATCGATAACATAACTGATATCGGGAACAGCTGTTCGTGCGATACATATATCGCAGAAAAAGCAAAACAAAGACACCGATAGGGGAAAAGTTAACGCAATTAAAAAGGCAAATAAAACAAAGCAAAGCACACAAAAATTGCAGATAATCGCGAAAACATTGACAAACGTGAGTCATTGGCCAGGGTAGAAAGAGCTTTCGTGTCAGTATGGCGGACCCCGCAAAAGAAGCCGCACCACCAAGCTACGAAGAAGTAATGAACGCCTCATCGCAGGGTAAGCCGCAGCCTGCAGCAACACCGTGAACTGGACTGGACTGGACTGGAGACAAAGAAAGAGCCGCAGATCTAATCAGTGAACATTTTGCAGATGCTCGCCTCATTGCGGGCGTACATCATGGACCGCCAACGGCACCGCCCCCCAATATGCATATGCCCACGTACGGGGCCTTCGAGACGACGCCCGTGAGTGTGGTCATCCAGCCGCCGCAGGTGGCCTTGCCCACGGAGATCATTGTGATTGGCGGCTGTCCGTCCTGTCGCATTGGCTACCTGGAGGACACCTTCTCGGCGCTGGGGCTGTGCTGTGCCATCTTCTTCTTCCCGGTGGGCATACTCTGCTGCCTGGCGATGAAGGAGAAGCGGTGCACCAACTGCGGGGCAGTGTTCTAAGACCTCTGAAACCCTCACCTCCCATTCGCATCTGCAATATGGCATTTAAAGTGCAAACACACAAAACGATGATGGATGGAATTCCCTGTTAACTCCTACAAATATGCTATGACCTATGACCTATATATTCCTTAAACACACAGACACACACACACACATTGGGACTGTAACTTTTTTTGATATCACAAAGAAAACTCTCGTACGTTTTATTATTGTTAATCATTAGACTAGAAAATCATTAAATATTGTATGTACATAATATGAATCATGATTCCATGAACGGTTATAGATTGCTCCAGATGCCAGTCATGTATTAGTGTTGTATATATATATGTGCATATGTTCGTGTCGTGTGCATCCCCATTAGCGACGTTGTCGAGCCGCGCTTCCGTTTAAATCAATTGAAATATAATGGAGGGCGGTCTTGAATTATGCCGCGAATTTTGCCAGCCAAACAGCACAACAGACGGAGCAGTGGATTGAACGACGTAGAGGATACCCTAAAGGCCTTAACACACAGCGATTTGATTAGTGGACTGTGAATAGATTGTTTATCCTCTGTACATATGGCTAGATCTAATCCAAATTAATTGAAATCCGAAAGATTCTTGCAGCTTTATCAATAAATCACATGATGATTGTTACATCCGAAACCCCTCAAGCCGTATACCTCGGTGAAAGATTTCATGGGCACAGGGTACATCCGTCGTGCCAGCATCTTGGAGTCAACAGTCGCGAATCTTCGTTGCCGTAGAGATGTCCAGTGTTTTGATACTGCTCTCGACTCTGCTGCTGGCGCTGCACTTGTCCGACCTCGTCTCAGCTTCATCCGCAGTCCCATCCGCAGGCCCAACCACAGCTCCTGCTGCTGCACGACACGATGTGGTGATGGTAATCTTTGATGATCTGCGTCCAGTTCTGGGGGCCTATGGCGATCCGCTGGCCAGCACACCGCACCTGGATGCCTTTGCCCAGGGCGGACATGTCTTCACGCGGGCCTACAGTCAGGTGAGGATTTGCAGGTGGCGTCCCCACAGTGCAGTAACACCACTGACGCTCCCCTTCCCAGCAAGCTCTGTGCGCGCCCAGTCGGAACTCCCTGCTCACTGGCCGTCGTCCGGACACCCTGCATCTGTATGATTTCTACAGCTATTGGCGCACATTTGTGGGTAACTTTACCACGCTGCCGCAGTACTTCAAGGAGCATGGCTACTACACCTACAGCTGCGGCAAGGTCTTCCATCCGGGTTTGTCCTCGAATAACAGCGACGACTATCCATTGAGCTGGTCCGCGCCAGCGTTCCGTCCACGTACCGAACAGTACATGAACTCGCCCGTCTGTCCCGATCGCGAGGGTGTGCTCCGCAAGAATCTCATCTGTCCGGTGCACCTCCAGACGCAGCCCTACAAGACCCTTCCGGATATTGAGTCTGTGACGGAGGCACTGCGCTTTGTGGAGTCGCGAAAGAGCAGCAGCAGCAGTAGTCCCTTCTTTCTGGCCCTTGGCTTTCACAAGCCGCACATCAACTTCCGCTTCCCGCGGCAGTTCCTCGCTCGGTTTCCACTCCAGCAATTCTTCAATTACACGGAGGACAGCCTCAAGCCGCCGGACATGCCCGCCGTGGCCTGGAATCCCTACACCGACGTCAGAGCTAGGGATGACTTCAAGCACTTGAACATCTCCTTCCCCTATGGACCCATATCTAGGCATCAGGCGGCGCAGATCCGTCAGGCCTATTACGCCTCGGTGGCCTATGTGGATGATCTGTTCGGGAAGCTGCTGGCCGGATTGGATCTACAGCAGACGGTGGTGGTAGTGCTGGGCGATCACGGCTGGTCGCTGGGGGAGCACGCCGAGTGGGCAAAATATAGCAACTTCGAGGTGGCCCTGCGGGTGCCACTGATCGTCCGTTCGCCGGAGTTTCCGGTGACCCAAGCCAAGGTCCATAGAGGCATCACGGAGCTACTGGATGTCTTTCCCACTCTGGTGGATCTGGCGGGGCTGCCATCGCTACCCGTTTGCAGGCATCCCACCGATGTGACCTGCGGCGAGGGCAAGAGTTTGTACCCACAGCTTCAGGGCTTGGGGTTGGATTTGGGTGAGTTCTGATCTGCAAATCCCCGAGGTATCCTCTATCTGTATTTGTGTATCTTTATCAGTGGATGATCATGTGGCCCTGAGCCAGTATCCCCGTCCTGGCATGCTGCCCACCAAGCATCCTAATAGCGACAAACCCAAGTTGAGGAACATCAAGATCATGGGCTACAGCCTGCGCACGGATATCTACAGGTATACGCTGTGGGTGCGTTTCCATGCACAGAATTTCAGTCGTGGTAGGTTCAACCATCTCCTCCCCTTCTTTATATCGGATACATCTGATATATCTGTATCTTGCAGATTGGCATGATATCTATGGCGAGGAGCTGTATGATCATCGTGTGGATGCGGGAGAGGAGCTGAATCTCGTTCCAATGCCCGAATTCGATGATGTGCGACAGCGTCTACGGCGGCGTTTGATGGAGGCAGTGGATCTGTCTCGCTTCTCATAATTTTGAATAAATTTATAAGCCATAAAGCCAGCGCTTTGGTGGGGCTGTTGGTGGGGAGTGGGGTCGGGGCGGAATGGGAATGGGAATGTATCTTGTCGCCATAATTGGAATTTAATACTTCCGGTTGGGCAACGAAACGTTCCGTCCGTCCGTCGCTCGCAATGCGACGCCCATGCGACGTCAGGGCTTGCTTGTTGTTGCATATTTTTCGCTGTAATTCGCTGCGAGATCTCCATTCTCCACTCTCTTGTCTCCAATCTCTGCTCAACCTCTGCTCTCCTCTCTCCTCTCCCCTCTCTCTCTCTCTCTCTCTCTCTCTCTCTTTGAATACAACTCCCGCTCCGGACCGCTCCGCGCATGCGTGACTTGTGTCCATTGCCTTTTTGGCTTCGTTTTTGCTGAATTTTTGTGAATGAAATTTCATTCAACGTTGGCGTCGCGCGTCGTTCCGTTCGTCTCACTGCGTTGGCGTCGACGCCCAAACAGAGACACCAACAGCAGCAGCGACAGTGAGTGGAGCGGGGGACTGGTGGCGGGGTGCGGGGGGCTACCAGCCATTGGGGGCATTTGAACGGAACGCTGGCCAGCTTTCATTTTCTCTGCTACTCCGCTGTTCGCTTCGACTGCTGCTGTTGCCATGTGAGTGAAAATCCTCTGGCTCTGGTAATTAAATCTCTAGTCCATTGCCTGATCGATGCCCCATGCCACATGCCACATGCCTCCTCCTCCTTTCCGCGTGTGTGTCCGTGTGTGTGCTCTCTAATGTGCATTTTTGGTGTGGGCTGCCGCTGCCGCCTCATGTTGGACGCCGCCTTCGTTGTTTGCTTCGTTTTGGCCACCATGTGGGCCGTCTATCTGGGAGGTGATTAAACTGCATTTTGGCAGCACTTTCAAACACACACACGCAGCCTTTCGCCCCCAGAAGGCGTGGCTGGGGCCATAAGCCAAGCTCTAATTTATGATTCGATCATATTTCTTTTTTCTTACTATAAAATTCTCTCTTTTGGGACTTTTTGGGACTCATAGATGACTTAATGGTCCTTGGGTCTAATGATATTTGATAAGAGTTTGAGGCAGCGCGAATATCACTAATCCATGTGCATTTACTTGGGCAAAACTATTAGCCTTTGAATCCATTGAATTCACCTATATTTTCTGTAGGAATACTTCCTTGACTTAAGAGTAGAAATCTATAGTATTGGCTGTAGATTCTACAATTTTCGCCTATATTCCCCGACAGTTCAAAACATAGCAATTTTTCACATTTTTCGGAGACATTTTATTGGGATTTTTCGAATTCTGGCAAAGAGTTTTAGGTATAGCTTTAAGTCCTTAAGAGTGTACTTTTTCTATACGTATTCTGTCATTTTTTTTTGCAGGGAACTTTTGGATAATCTGCGAATAAATCAATGAGAGATTCCATAATTTCCCAGAGACACAACTTTCGAATAGAAAACTAGTAGATCAGTTCTCTCTTGGTAAACTCGATTGAACTTTGAACTATTCCAAGTGCAAATGCAACTTTAAGCCAAAGAACTGTACGAGTAGAAGGCTTTCTGGCCCCACCTTTTCGCGGCGTCCTCTGTCCTCTGTCCTCTGTCCCCTTCTATATCATTTAGCATTTTTCCACCTACCATAATTTATTTTTACCTTAGCATTTCCGTTGTGGGCCTTCCTCTCCATTCATTTTCTTTACCGTTGCATTGTTGACAGCCTTCCTTCGCTTTTCCTCGCTTTTCTTTCTTTAATTCGCGCTAAGCTTTGCTTATGGGTGGAGCCCCCACTCCTAGTCCTCCTTCTCCTCCCTTTTTCCCCCAATTTGGTTATGCATAATGCATCCAGAAAGAGTTGGGAGGGGAGAGGGTGGTGTGGTGCTGGCAACGTGTGTGGGGCCCATGCCTCGCCTCGCCCTGCCTCGACTCGACTCGCCTCAGTGTCTGTTTCGGTTTTGAGTTTTGCGGCTAACCGCAGGAATAGTCGAATAGCGCGTGTGTTATAATAATCTATGGCACTTTAGAGGTTTAACCGATGGCTAGATACAGATACACAGATATAGAGATACAGAGAGATAGACAGATAGATAGAGATAGACGACAGACTGAAGTAGTGGTAAATGTTGTAGACCATATTGCGGCAGACTGACAGGCACTCGGCACTCGGCACTCGGGCGGTCTCTAAACTATATTGTATGTATATCTATGGGCCATAAAGCCTCCACAAAATACTACTATCCATCGAAATAACGCGAATATGTACAACTTTAATTTCGAATTTGTAGGTTGTGCTATGGCTATGGCTGTGACTGTGGCTGTGGCTGTGACTGTGGCTGGGGGTTATTTTCTAAGCAAAAGCTCGGGTATGCGTGGGCGTCTCAAACGAATATTGCAAAAGATGCGTAGGCCGTAGGCTCCATACTCGGTTGGATACCGGAGGTGGAAGCCCAGAGACTCGGAGACTCGGAGACTCAGAGACAGAGACGTTTGCCGGGTCTGCTGCTGCTCCATCGAGCGGCACAAATGCGACAACAACACCACATGGCATGTGGCATCGAATGTGTGTGCTTGTGTGGATATATCTTGGATATATAGTTCATCAACAGTCGGTACGGTTTGGTTCGGGCTTTTTACCTACGCATAGCTTTCGGGCCAAGCGGTGTTCCACTGTGTAAATCGAGTTCTAACCAGCCCTCTCTCCCCCTCCCTCTCTACACCACTATCCCCCTCTCTTTCTAGTCAGAGTCACAGCGCTGCGGCCTCCCGCTGTAAAAAAAAAATGCTAATTTTCGTTGACATGCCATAGTTTGGCTAATGACGAAGGTTGTTTGTTAGCTTTGTCAGTTGACTTGACGCCGTTGCCAAAAAAAAAGAACAAAAAAACCAAAAAAAAAAAGTTGGAAAAAATATTAGAAGAAGAAACCAAAACCAAAACCCAGACTCAGACTCAGGCCCAAACCCAAAACCAAAGGCAGAAAACTGGTTACCGTGTGCGAGAGTGAGATTCGAGTGGGCTTTTGGTGAGGAGGGAATTTCTTTTGACGGAATTTCCATGAATTAATGCTGCCTGCCGGATTATGCTGTCCACTCCTCAGGTGTGTGCCTCAAAT